AAATCTCGATTACAAACATGTTGTCTGTCTCTAGGATAATCTTGATTTTATAATTCGTATTTATTTCAATAGAAAGATCTGAATGTTTATGAAAAAGATATCTTAATACCTCTTTTACCGTGTATATATATATATATATATATATATATATATATATATATATATATATATATATATATATATATATATATATATATATATATATATATATATATATATATATATATATATATATACATATATATAATGTAATAATAATATAATAATGATATATATATATATATATATATATATACATATATATATATATATATATATATATATATATATATATATATATATATATATATATATATATATGTATATATATATATATATAATGATATATATATATAATGATATATATAATAATATTAATATTATATTAAAGAATAAACATATATATATATATATAACTATAATAGTTATTGTACATTATATATATATATATATATATATATATATATATATATATATATATATATATATATATATATATATATATATAAATTATGTTAGTGTATTCTACAAACAGAGTGCTCAATGTTCTTAAAGAACAGAGCAATAATAAATTAGTAAAAGGACTTATCTAATTTTCTTAAAATAATTTAATTAACCTAAATAATTTTGGTAAATTATAAAGACAGAACAGTACAATACCATAAAATAACATGGAAAATTTTTCATAAGCCAACACTAGACAGTTTAAATATTTAAAAATGCAAAGTGATACATTTCAATCCAAACAATGAATAAAAATAAACATTCAAAATGTTTAAACTGTTCCACAAAGGTGATACAGCTGCTCAGAAATTATACAAGCAAAGTGATACTGCTACATTTGGATTTAAAATTGCTAGAAACTAGACGAGCTCTAGGTGATTTTGATAATAACAATAATACCTTTAGACGATTTTATTAATAACAGTAATGCTCTAACAAATGTTTGTAATAACAAAATTTTTAACAACTACCTCAATCAGCTATTTATTCAATCAATTTAAACTTTAAAAAGCCACTATTGATTAACATAAACTTAGAATACTAATTAGAATTTATCTTTTTGCTATCTAATTGCTAAATATCAAATGAATCAACTAATTTCATTTATTTTTCTGCTGAAGTATTTAGGTTACATTACATTATAAATGGTACCCATGCTATAACTCTACATTTACTGTTTGCTGTTTTTCTGCCTCAATTCTTATGTTGTAATATATATGTAATATTATATATATATATATATATATATATATATATATATATATATATATATATATATATATATATATATATATATATATATATATATATGTATATATATATCATGTACAACTAATCTTCTAAAGGAGCTAGATGTTATTATTAAAGCGTTTAGTGATGTATGTGATGCCATGCTGATTCCCTAGGATTTTTCCAAGTTATTTGCTAGTGTCTCACCACCTGCTTTAACTCAAATTAGCTGGTTATTTTACCAAAATAATAGTTTAGTTAAAAGGCTTTCTCAGCAACAGGAAGCAGCATGCTGTTTTGCATGAAGTTTGTCCAGATTAAATTGATGTGTTAAGTGGTGTACCCCAAGGCTCTGTAATGGGGCACCCCACTTAACACATTAGAAACAAGTATTCTATTGGAATACTTGTTTCTTATTTTTATCAATGATATGCCAGAACTTGTTGGAAATTATTGTAACTTGCTTGATGATGGTAGTCAACTAATTTCCAAATTAAAAAGTGTTCTAGATCATTGTATATAATGACTCTCTTTACATGATGGATGATGCTAGAAATCCTATCCAATTAGAAAACATTTGTGTTAAAAGAGATTTTGGAGTTAGTATAAACAACAAGCTCAAATGGTCTGACCAAATAAATCTAACACAGTAAAGGCTAATATGGTGTTAGGAATGTTTAAGAATATTTTAAAAAAATGGAATGTGTGTATGTTTTTCAAACTCTACACAACTTTTGTTTATCCTCTACTTGAATACTGTGCAACAGTTTGGAGTACATTCCTTAGAAAAGGCATTAAACAGCTTAAACAGGTACAGAGACATAGTACTAAGTTCATGCCGCAGTTGCAGAACCTGAGTTATAAATTATGTATGGCTAAATTAGGTTTAACAACTTTATATGAATGCAGCATAAGAGGTGACTTTGGTGACAATATTTTAAAGTTTCCAAGAACTTTAATGTAGTTAAGTGGCAAAATCCTACTCTTAGCCCATTAACAGCCAATGGCTCAGTTGGTGGTCTACCCCGTGCCAAATACAGAATTAATAGAGAGATTACTGGGAATTCAGCCAGGCATAACTTTTTAAGCAATGTTATAGTGCCTTATAGGAACAGTCGCCAGGTTTTGTTGTTGCTTCAGAGTCAGTTGACCAATACAAAAATAACTGTGACAAATGGTTTAATTAGATTTTTGGTATTATAGTTGGCTCTTGATAAATTGACAGCTCATAGAAGTTTCAAACTTTTATTGTAGAATACCATTAAATTTAAAGTATATATATATATTAGAGCCCTGTGAATCAGCAGTTTTTGTTTTGAATCAAATCTCGAATCAAAGCAGGTCTTGATTCGCAATTCGAATCATGTTTCGAATCAACATTTTGAAGTCTAAATTTAAGCATTTTTTATTTAATAATATATATTTCAAAATAAAATAAAAAAAAACTATTGTATAAACTCTTTAATAATGCTTCTTGCCCTGGTTAACCTTTTAATGACTATTTAAAAAAGTAATTAAGGATATGTAATGTTATTTTGATAGCGCCAAAGTGCAGAATATCTAAAATACCCACAACAAAAATAAAATAAGTGAGGATTCAAATTTTTGAAAATTTTTGAATCGTATCTCGAATCATATTTTTGATTCGATTCGAAATTTCGAAGCTTCGCACAGTCCTAATATATATAAATATATTTATATATTTAAACTATAAATTATACTTTCATTATTTTATCAGATAATACGTTTGTATTCATGATTATAAGAATGTATCAGTTTTTCTATAACGTTTTTTTGCAAAAACAATATAGTTGACTCTTGATTAGAGTTGCAAAAAAAACCGTTTTTTTTTAATTGTGTTTTTTTTGCAAAAAAAACATGTTTTTTTTGTGTTTTTTATGGTTTTTTTTGTTTTTTAGATTAAAAAAAAAATTATTTGCTTTTATTTAATTTTTATTTTTATTATAAATGTAATATAATATATATTAATAACATGATATATGGTAAATATATAGTACATCATTTAAAAGATTTATTTTTAATTAATAACAGATTCTGTATTCTGGCTTTCTTGTTCATTAAGGTCTTCTATTGTAAAGTCAAATCCGTATTGCATCCACAACTATTCACAACTCAGAAAAATAAAATTTTTTATTTTTCTGAGTTGTGAATGGAACTCTTGTTGAAGAATACAATCGTTTTAAGGGAGGCTTATCTGATTTGGTTTTATTTGCCTTACAGTCTCCAAACTTAGGGGTTGTAGACCTACTTTGGTTTCCAAAACAGCTTGGTGTTGGAAAGAAAGACTCAATTGGAACTTGTGGAATAGCAGATGATAAACATATTTTTTTCTCTTTTTTCATATCTTGAATAGGTAAGTTTTCAGGAATATCTTCTTCCATCATTAGTTCAGTTTGAACTTTCTTCTGTTTAAAAGGCATATCGTTCAAATATTTGTTTTTTATTTGATCGCCACATTTCATACATTTTGCAATGTGCTCAGTCATTCGAGTGCCATTTTTTGATAGCTTTAAGTTGCAAAATTTGCATATAACTTGTTGAATTTTAGAACCTCCAGATTCTAAAGGTGCCTCATTGAACAATGTAGCTACAAAACATTTCTTTCTGCCTGGCATATTTTTTTTTAGATTTCTTTTTTTTTTTTTAATTAAAAATAATTAATAGATTACAAATTGTTTAATATAAATGTTTTTTCATTAGACAAAGTTAATCACTGTGTTATTTTTATTTACTTGAATATTGTTTGAATAAATAAAATTTTAGCTATCTAATTGCAATTTAAAATAAAATAAAGAAATTAAATATTAAAAATTCAAAAAAGTAATATACAAAAGTAAATAAAACATTAAAGTAAATTTTATTTAACAGTTGGTTCAATTTTGTATTTTGCAATGCAGTGTTATTTCATTCATTTTTATGAATGAAATAACACTGCTAAAATAACATTTTTATTTCCTTCATTCAGTAGTATTATACTTACAATCAACTAGTAGCTAATAGTATAGTTTTTTTGAGATTTATTTAAAAAATTACTTTTTTAAATATTTAATACTGTTTTTTTTTTAATATTGGTGATTAGTTTGTAACAGCTATTATATAAGTTAATATGCATTTTATTAAATAGAAAACATTTGTATTTTGTAGGTTTAAGGGCACTGGAACTGTTTCAAGTATTATTATTATCTAAAATTTAATGAATAAAAAATGAATAATAAAAAAAGCAAAAAATGAATAATAAAAAAAGCAAAAAAAACTATAAAAAACATGTTTTAGAACCAGTCTGTTTTTTTTGCAAAAAAAACGTTTTTTTTAAAAAAAACACACCGTTTTTTTTGGGGTTGCAACTCTACTCTTGATATCTTGAACTTTCAGGTAACCAGACAAAAATTTGAGATATCGAGATATTGAGAGTTAACTGTATTTAAAATTAAATTAAAAAATTGGTTTAAGAAATATTAAGGAAAGAGTTAGGTTGAATCATAATTTCATTAAGTTTTCATAGACTTTTACATTTGATATACATTTGATTGTACTAGTTGTAACTTGATATATAAAGCTACTATAACAAACTTATTAAAACATTTAAACGCGTAAAAAGTTTTAAGTATCTCATTTGATAGAGAGTATTTTAAAAATCTGTTTGAATATATATATATATATATATATATATATAATTTTTTTTTAGATAAAATCATCTCTGCAAAAAAATGAGTTATTCAGATTCTATGCTGCAAAGTCAAATAACTGAAATCACATTAAGGACAATAACTGAAATTGAAGAGTTAGCTGAAGAAATAATAAGCGATAGAGCACAAATAATTGATTTTGATAAAAAACGTTGTGGAAATCGACAAGCTTTAAGAGAAACAAAAGTAAATCCTAAGGATAAACAATGGATTTGTATCGGAAACTTATTTCTCAAAATTTCCCAAAAACAAGCTATTGAAATGTTAAAAAATGATCAAAATCAGATAGAAAAAGAAATAGCAAATGTTCATAATGGTTTAAAGCCTAAATTAAAAAAACTTCACGAATTAGAAGGTTTACCTAGTACAGATGGCTTTGACTTAAAAAGTATAAAAGTAGACGCTTAAAGAAGTCAAAATAAATTCAAACTCCTAAGAATTTATGTTGACATAAATTTTATTTATTACAATGTAATTGTTTTTGCTGCATTCAAATTTTTTATTATCGTGTGCATATTGTGGTTTTAAACCAATTCAATAACAATAAAATTAACATACATAGTTTATACAACCATTGATAATAATTATACAAATTAAAATATCTAAATTTTGTGAGGTGTTTTATAAATTGCTCTTGAAATTTAATATGAAGTTGTTGTTTTTTTTGAGATGAAAGTTTAGCTATTATTATTGTATAATAAATAACCACTAAATTGTTGAAAACACCTGAGTATTGATTTGTAAATAGCTGTGTATTCTTCAAGTGTTTTTTGAATTTTTGAAAGTTTTTATTCTTGTTTTACTTTTTCTTTTGATAAAGAAAAATAATAAAAAATTTATTCCACATTTAATGCTAATATGCTTGTAATTTGATATATTTTAAAGATAACACATTTGTATTAAAGATTAGTGGCCAAATCAAAGAAAAAGTAAAAAAAAAAAAAAAAAAAATTGGATCTGCACTAAAAACTAAGATGCTGAAATGATTTTTTTTGTTTGTTTTGCGCTATCTCTTCATGCTGCTATTGAAGCATCCTTATTCCAGGTCAAGTCTTCTGGGTATTGTTTTTTGTTTGCGCAAATATTTGAGAAAAAAAGAGAATTTGTTGGTGGCTGCACATCTCTATGCTGGTCTTTTATTTTTATACAGTTTGCGCTTTCATTTGTAACATTTTACATTACACTTTTTCCATTTCAAATTAGACATGCTGATTGGTAAGGAGTTTTTATTAATGTTTTTGTTTTGCTTTAATTTGGATTTTTTTTTTAATAGTCTCATTTTTACATTTAGATTGCTTTTTTATTTATTTTTATTTATTGTATTATTGATTTTGAGATGCAGATGAATCAGTTTAAAGTTTTAAACAAAATTAAAAAAACAATAAAGTACAAAAATAAGTTACTTGCTATTAAGTCTAGTTTATCAATATAGAACAAACTTAGAACTTTTTGCTTACAAAGTGAACGCTCTACCACTACATCTCTATGGCATAATCAAGGGTTAAAAAAAAAAAGTATGTATATATATATATATATATAAAACATAGTATATATATATATATATATATATATATATATATATATATATATATATATATATATATATATATATATATATATATATATATATATGTATATATCAGGGTGTTAGCCAGGTAAATATTTCATACAGTGATTTTGCAAGGGGGGGGGGGAATACATTCTGACATTTAAAAAACAGATAAATTTGACATTTTATAGATACATTTAAAGTTTAATCAAAATAAAAAAAAAATGTTTTTTTTTTTGCTGGGTTATATTCACAGCATTTTTCTACTTAATAAATGTTTAATTCTAATTATTCAACTTGTTTTATTTTAAGCAATCTTCTAAAGTTTTAATTTTTAAATCCCCCTTTTTTTTTTTCGATATTGCAGTTGTTTTTCAAAACGCCTTGATATAAACAGCTTTTTACAAACGTCTTTTTACCTTGATATAAACGCCTTTTTACATTTTTCGAGAAAAAAGCAATTAAAAAAAAATTATTAGGAGAAACTCTTTGTAAAACGTTTTTTGAAACTAATAATTTTTATAAATTTTTTTAGAACCTTTTGAAAATATGTATTCAATTAGGTTTGTAGACACCTAAACTAGCTTATTTTGTAAAAAAGTCTTCTTTCAAAACGCCTTAAGGTAAAAAAAAGTTGATTTTTTTTACCTTAAGGCGTTTTGAAAAACAGCTGCAGTATAGTAGAGAGAAAACAAGAACAAAAGACAATTGCTTGCAATTTTAATGAATGAATTATTAAATTTACTCATTGAAACTTTGATCTATTTTCATTGCGTACATCGCTTTTTAATACAGTTTTAAAAGGTTTAAACGATTAGTTCTGAAGAAATATATTTGATCATATAAGTATTTAAATACTTTAGTATTTTAAAACTAAGAATTTTATAATACTTGAAAAAAATTTTTAAACTTTTTTACAATATTCCTATTATTGTTCATCATATTTTATATAATTTTTATCATAAGATAAATTTAATAGTTAAAAAACTTATTTAAATCGATAGCTTTTAAATGAAAGTTAATAAAAGTTTTTGAAATCCTAATAACTTTTAATTGAAAAACTTTGTTGGCTCGCTGATTTTCATCAAATATGTTTGTTAAAAGATTTTTTGTTGCAATATGCTACTTTAATTTAAATAAGTAACAAAGACATTTAAGGGGCAGAATGAGATTCTTTCACCGCACGATGGCAGCAACTAAATTTAATTGGCATGTTTAAATATCTAGTACAGGGTTCGAAATATCGGACAATTTGTCTGATTAAGACTCAAGTTTGCCGAACATGTCCGATAAATTTTAAAGAAATGCAATCGAATGCCACTCCTAAACATGCATAAAATATTTTGTTTTTACGCAATATTTTGACAACTGAAATACGCTGAAAATAAAATGTAAATATGTAAGATGAATTATCTAACAAAAAAAAAAAGCTCAAAAAACTAAAATTTGAAATGGAAAATACATTTATATTACATTTTGTAAAAATACTATACTATGTGAAATGCTTTTAAATTATTAAATAAATAAATTATTAGGTAAATATATTAAATACATAAACTATGTAATTATTAAATACATAATTAAATATGTAATAAAAATGTATAATAAAAATACGAAATTATTAAATACATAAATTACTATGTAAATATATAAAAACTATAATACTTTATTAAATAAAGTAACAATAAAATTATGTTTAAGATAAACCCATTTTATTTAAATTATCAAAGAATATTATACGTAATTACATTAATATAAATATGTATTTTTTTATAAACTTTTTCAAACCTTGTCTAAGATTAATTTTATAATATTTTTAATACTGAACTTTTCTGGCGCAAAAACAAAAGTTACGTTAATCAGTTAGTAAATCAAATTTAATAATGTAATAAAAAGTACTGGTTTCTATAAGCATTACTATTAAACAAGATAAGATTGCTACATCTGTCCAACAACATCTAATTAGTGAAATAACATTCAAACATTTTTGTGTAAGATCATCCGCTTTTTTTCTTTACTGAATTAACATCTGTGCAACAATATCCGAAATTTCATTGATGTCTAATAACATCTTTAGAAATATATAACTACATCCGAGAGGCTGATTCCATCAACAGCTGAAAAATATCAGAGTATTAACAGTGCCATGTTGCACATGGATGATGTCCCTGTTTTTACTTTTGGTGTGCATTGCCAAGGCCACATTGGAGCCCTTTGCTACAGCTTAGGGTTTATTAATGGAAATGAGGCAATTGCTTGGGCTATAAGACAGTGTACTGAGTACTATCTATGTTTCGAGTCAAGTTCTTTAACAAATTTAAAAATGAATAAAGTAACAAAAACTATAAAACTCAAAAAACCACTGTCATCACCAAGTTCGCTAAATCTATCATTCACCAATATTCGTGGTCTTCGAAGTAACTTTTCTTCTGTATCTAAAGTGATTTCCCACTTTGACTCTTATACAGCTTGCGGCCTGGACAACATACCTGTTATAGTCTTGCAGAAGTGTTCTCCGGAGCTGTCGTCTATCCTTTCAAAACTATTTAACAAGTGCTTATATGAGTCTTGTTTTCCAGCCTGCTGGAAAGCAGCATCTGTTATCCCTATTTTTAAAAATTCTGGAAAGCGATCCGATTTGTCTAACTACCGTCCCATCAGTCTTCTTCCTATCATAAGCAAGGTTTTTGAATCTTTAATTAACAAACACTTAATCTCTCATCTCGAATCTCATAACCTACTTTCTGATTATCAATATGGATTTCGATCTTCTTGTTCTACGGCTGATTTGCTATCAGTAATAACCAATAGGTTTTATTGCGCATTAGATAAAGGTGGAGAGGTTAAGGCCATTGCTCTTGACATTTCTAAAGCGTTTGATAAAGTTTGGCATGCTGGTCTCCTTCATAAGCTTTCTTCTTATGGTGTATCTGGAAACATCTTTAAGATTATTGAATCCTTTCTTTCCAATCGTAGTATAAAAGTTGTTGTCGATGTACAGCACTCTTTTTCTTATTCTGTAACCTCAGGGGTTCCCCAAGGTTCAATCCTTGGCCCTATACTCTTTTTTATTTACATTAACGATCTTCCAGATATTCTGACATCTAAGGTGGCATAGTTCGCTGATGATACTACCATTTATTCTTGTCATGATAAGAAGCCAACTCCCTCTGATTGCTTGCAGGGGGCATCTGAGCTTGAGAAGGATCTCACTTCTGCTACAGCATGGGGCTCACAGTGGCTGGTGAACTTTAATTCAGATAAAAGTCAATTTTTTTTAGCCAATCGTTATCGCAATAATTTAGACCTTCCTGTATTTATGAACGGTAATGAACTCGATGAGCCTCCTACCCTTCATCTTCTAGGATTAACTCTTACTTCTGATCTTTCTTCGAAACCATATATCAAATCCATTGCAAAATTAGCATCTGCTAAAGTTGCTTCTCTTTATCGAGCTCGACAATTTCTTACT